CAGTATAAATAGTTAGCAGCAGTGAGAATTAGCCAAGGTAAAAGCATTGTGGTGTACAAATGCTAACACAAAAGAACAGGAATACTTGTGAGACTAACAAATGTATTTGAGCATAAGTTTTCATGAACTACAGCCCACTTCATCGGATGCATAGATGCACACAAAAGAGACTTCCATCTGTTCTAACACTGTACCTGTTCAGACAGGTCAGTACTTGTTAAAAAATCAGAGTCAATAATTGTATGGTTGTGAATGTAGGAGGTTTGCTAGCGCTAGCAATGAAAGTCTTGGGCTTATAACCATTGCAGTGGCAATGACTAGACTTTCACACACATGAAATTATTCACCCAAACAGAACACTAAGTACTGGAAACCCACCAGTTGTTAACCCCCTCTGCTGATTTTGGAACTTTCTGGTTGACAGGTGTTGATTAAAAGTCAAAATTTTCTGTGGAAAGCAGACACTTTATGTGAAAAATGTAGTTTAGCTGAAATTCCAATTTTCTAGACAGACCAGCCCCTGTATTAACTTTTGCCCAGTGCCCCTTCCATGCTGGGGAACTCCCCTTTAAGGGGGAACTCTTCTCCAAGGGACTCCATGAGTTAGCCAGAAACAGAGGAGTTTTGGTAGCCCGGATCCAGTAGTCAGGCTGCCAGGAAAACAGTGTGTGTGTGTGGTGGTGGAGTAACAGGAGGCTTTGGCCTTGTGCCTCCAGCCTATCTCAACAGATCCCAGAGGATTAGGAAGGCAATACCTTGTTTATTTCAGTGCAGGGCATATCCCAGGGATTCTCAAACTGGGGGTTGGGACCCCTCAGGGGGTCACGAGGTTATTAAATGGGAGTCGTGAGCTGTCAACCTCCACCCCAAACCCTGCTTTACCTCCAGCATTTATAATGGTGTTAAATATATTAAAAAAGTGTTTTTAATTTATAAGGGGGAGGTCACATTCAGAGACTTGCTATGTGAAAGGGGTCACCAGTACAAAAATTTGAGAGCCACTGGCATATCCCATCCCACTGAGGTTTCATCTTTCCTGCGGGATACAGCTTTATGTCACTACTGTACATTAAACTGTTTTTTTTGTATTTGTCTTATGTATATCCTTGGTGCCTAACCCTAGCATCACCTTGCCTGGATTTAGGATCATACAGCAGAAACTTCACAGCTTTCCTTAGCGAACTAGTGCTCTTACTTCAGTTCACTGACTTTAATGTCCAAGCACAAAGAGGCTCAGAATCTCCCTGCTTTCCTGATGCCTTGTTAGAATTGTGCTATGGCACATTTAAGCCAAGAGGTTCTGTGCAGTATGCCCAGAGAAAGAGCCCATTAGCGGCTCACAGTAAGCATGCCTCATTTTTTAAATTAAAAACACAATCGCAGTAAGTGCAGGGCGAGAGGGTGCGAACGGTATTTTTCAACCACCTCATCTCCAGGAAAGACTTGAAGATTCAGTAGCTACTGGCTCTGTGTCTTGCCTTAGCTAAGCAGCATGGAGGCTTTCACATAAAATTTAATTTTCCAGTAACAATGAACATAAACTGCCTGAGCTGTATCGATGTATTTGGTATTCATAGTAATAACACTGATCATAATGAGTTCATTTAATATTAATATTCGTTACACCAAACAAGCATAAATCCAAGTTACCCAAAGGAAACAGAATAAGCCAGACTCAAAACACTGTATGTATAGATACTTGAAGGCATTTCAGGTCTATGTGATTCCTGCAACTGACATCCATCTGTACTTAAAGTATGCACAGTACAAAGAATACTTCTTAAAGGAGCTACCGCGCATTTAGTTTTAAATCAACATGAATGTTTAGAGGAGGAACAATTGCAGTCTTATCGCCATTGATTATTATCTGCATTATTGCAACTGCAGAGCAAACAGAGCAGAGCTTATATCCAGAAAAAACACCTATCTGTGTTAGAAATCAGGGGCCTCTATGGCAACTATGTATCTTAGACACAGCATGTCTGATTCACCAGGGAGGTACTTCAGCATTATGCTGATTTAGCTCTACTGAAATCTAGCCGTGTGTGTGCGTGCATATATGTGCATGCTGCCTGGGGACTCCTGTAATAAATGTAAGACACGCGACTGGTAGCAAGAGACCAGACTTTATGTGCTGACCCGAGACATCTGATATGGCTCAGAGTTATAATGGTTAGTATTCCTGTCACATGAGAGGGGTCAGCCTCTGCTGATTCCAGCAGCTGTTATTATATATAAATTGTACATTCATCGGCCACACCCTCAGCAGTCTCCTTTCTCCCTGCCCTAAAAATAATGCCTGTGAATTAGGGTGAATGGAGCCCCAGGGGAGTACGGCACAATGCCATGCAGAGGGTGTGGATGGACTGTGTAGGCTCTCTATACCCGACCCCCATTTTAGTAAATTGATATCTCATTGGTTACACTGCATTCGGGGCCTTCCATAGCCCTTAGCTGGCCCAGGAAGTAGTGAAAACTATTGAGAAAGCATAATATTATATTGGTCAAAACGCTAGACTTATAGGATGCTCTAGGAAAATTCAGAGCCATCACCCTATCCCCAATCCCACTGGCAGCCCAGTGTCAGAAAACATTGCCCTCTCAGCATTAGTTAACACTGATTTCCTCTTTATGATGTGACATTCTTCTCGGAAGAGGACTTGAAGGGGCAGGTATCACTGGGTACGTCTACACTGAAAAGAAATACCCATGGCACTGAGTCTCAGAGTCGGGGTCAATTGACTCAGGTTCGTGGTGCTAGAAATAGCAGTGCAGATGTTTGGGCTCTGAAACCCATTCAGGGGAAAGATCTCAGAACCTGGGCTCCAGCCCAAGCCTGAATGCCTACACTGCTAGTTTTAGCCCCGCAGGCCGTGCCCTGCAAGCCGGAGTCAATTGACCCAGGCTCTGAGACTCGGTGCTGTGGGCTTTTTATTGCAGTGTAGACGTACCCATGATGGTTGCATGGATCCTGCCTGATCCAGGCCCCCATAGCAGCCAGGAGGGAAGGTAGCATGGTGAGGGTTCTCCCAAGCTTCATGGGACTTGGAGCCAAGACCCTGCGATAATGGCAGCAAATCCAGCACCCTCACACAGGAGTGCTCAGGTGGCAACCCTGCCAGCTCACACTCGTTGTTTTTCCCTACATGGAGATGGGGCCCTGTAAAAGGAAGTTGTTTTAGTTTTCCACTGTAAGCTGGCAGTGATCACGAGAAGCACAATGCAAGTGGAACATAGCTTCCTATACATCTATTTTTATTTATGGGAAAAATGATGTCCATGCCTCTAATTAAAAACATGAGTAACTTATTTAAAACTCAGCTATTACTTATTAAGGAACAGATTCTGTCCCCTCCTTATTCACCTTACTCCATTAGACCATGCAAAATAAAATACTGCTCAGAATGGCAAAATCTGGCTCCAGGTCGTTAGTTCTGCTCCTTATTTGATTTCTTTTCATAAGCAATATTCACTGCCTTCCATATGCAGTGTGATTTAATCCATCCCACTGCATGAATTTGGAACTGCTTGGATTAAAGAGGGAATCAGAAGATTTCTCAACAGTAAGGAATAAATGTCATTGCTGTTAATCAAACTGAGAGTAAACCATAATAACGGTGGTGATTACTGGATGCTGTTATAGTCTGTGCCAATTTACAGCCCAATTTCGCTGACCCAAGACAGTTCGGAGATGCATTATGGGTATATATCGCAAGCTCAGCCAAACTATGGCCCTCATTCAGGAAAGCATCTCTATTCAGGAAAGCTCTTAAGCACTTGCTTAACTTTAAGCACATGCTGAGGTCCTACTGGTTCCAACTGGAGCTGTGGGTGTTCAGCACTGCTGGAAATCAAACTCTATGCCTGTTATGGGGAGACTTTGGTCAGTGCTTTAGATGTGATTTCCCTTGGAAAAATGTGTCTAGGCAAAAATGACAACTTCTTATCCTAACCTGATGCGTTTAGAGTCATCTCTCCTCCCTTCAGAGAGGACACCAGACCACCAGTCCTATTTAAACATTTTAAATCTCCTGTTAGAAGTGCAGAGCCAGAAGGCAGGATGCTCCAAAGATCATCCACACAGCAAAAAAACAAAACACAAAAAAACCCTCAACAGTGAATCTCAGGGCCAGGTCCACTGACTCAGGCTCATGCTACAGAGCTAGAAATAGCAGTGCAGACATTCCCACTCGGGCTGAAGCCCAGGCTCTGAGACCAACCCCACTCGCCCAGTTCCAGAGCCCAGGCTCCAGCTTAAGCGGGAACGTCTACACTGCTATTTTTAGCCCCATAGTGTGAGCCCGAATTAGCTGACCTAGGCTCTGAGACTCATTGCCGCAGTTATTTTTTTGTAGGGAGCTAGCCAGCAGTTCAGGCAACCTGCGCTCAAGCCCCTAGTCTGCAACAGACTTCCTGTGTGACCTTGGGCAAGTCATTTCACCTCTCTATGCCACTGTTGCCCATCAGTAAACTGTGACTAATAGCACTGTCCTACCTCTTAGGGTTGTGAGGCTAAATACAGTAAAGATTGTGAGGTGCTCAGATACTGTAGTAAAGGAGCCCACAGACAGACTGGAGAAAGAGCTAGATTCCATTCCGGCTCAAGATGCATTGACAGGATTGTGTACTTAATTCCAGTTGCTCTCGGTTAGACCTGTGCAATCCCTTTACAAGTAATGGGTTTGTCTGACAGACATAGACTGAAAGACTCGTGATTACTGGCACTGATGATGCACTGTCCAGAAAGAACACAGCGTGGCTTTACAATCCTAGGCTGAGCATTCAGGACTGGCTGTTCAAAGACTACCTTTGTTCACTTGTGAGCGGAGCTATTGATTCGGAATTCACTGAGACACAATAAACTTGGAACCCCATGATGCCATTTTTATGGTCACTCTCCACGCACTTCAAGCTTAGATCTCCCAGGGTAACTCAGGCTTATGCTTGATTAGAGCACTTAAAACTCTAGTCATGGTTTGAGAGTCAGTAGCTGCTCTTACCCTGTTGGAGTCAATTCTAGCCCTGGAGGTATAGATAGGAGGAGGGATGTTAAAGGCCTGAGGAACTAAATATTCCTCAGCATCCATCATATCTTCCAGGTCTTCGTCATCCAGCAGATTTTGGAAGAATTTGCTGTCGTTTGGATTCGGGAGCTTCATACGGTCGTCACCCTGAATGTGTCACATGGACAGAGGAAGATAACACAGAGATGAATTAATTCTATGAGCGTGGTTACCTGTTTTCTATACCACCTTGCTGTCATGGTGCAGAGACCATGCATATACTCAGGTGGCCCTACATCACCACAGCTACATAGTTTATTTTGATTTTTGGCTGGGAATATGATGACAGGAGGGGAATAACTGCATTAATCAAGCAAAAATAAATGTTTTGCCCTCCTGTTATTGAACTTTTTTCTTTCTTTTTTAAAACAGACTCAATTCTGGACCCAGTAGACCAGCTTCTGGCAAGGTCTGCTGTATGCTGTGAAATATTTGAGATATTAAGGCTAATGCAGGAAAACATATATATAATGGAAAGTGGGCCTCTTTGCTTTTTATTTTATTTTATTTTATTTTATTTTTATTTGTGTTTTTTAAGGATTTATTGTGTGAGATTCCCCTGTTAGCCATACAGAAGGCCTTATCAGAATTTAATAGGGATGAAATCAATAGGAATTAAACTGGGTAATGACAAAATTTGGATTGCAGTAGGGCCCAATAAAAGATATTACCTCACTCACAGAGAGGTTATCATTCCTGATTATATTCCAGAGGACTTTCTAGAAGGGCAGTGACACTAGTGCTGCAATGGAGTTAAATTGAGATGAACATTTGGCCTTTATTGTCCTAACTGACCGCTATGGAAGAGGCCAAACAGCACTATGAAAGAGGCCACATGGGTGACCTCAAATGATGAAATACTCGCCAGATTATATAGCAAATTACCTTGACAATGAGATTAAAAAGATAATGAAAGGAAGTACAAAGAATGCAGTAAGTTCTTTTAGCTAGTGAAATAATTATCCAGGCAGGTTTTCTGGGGCCTTTTCTTTTTAAACATTACTTCCCTTTGAAATCAGTGGGGAATATTGCTAGGAAAAGGTCACATTATGATACTATTACTCATGCTGACTATTGTCTTACTGATCAAATTGTTCCACTGAACTGTCTGTATTGATCATTGTGAGTCAGCCCATCAGAATCTGGCCCAAACTGATTCCATGTTCTGGCCTCTGGTATTTAATAATTATGTTATTGACATTGCAATTTTTATTCATCTCCATTTGTTTGTCCAATCTGTTCTTAAAAACCACCAGTGAAAGGGATTTCACAACCTCCCTTGGAGGCCTATTCCAGAGCGTAACTACCCTGATAGTTAGAAAGTTTTCCTAATGTCCAACCTAAATCTCCCTTGCTGCCAGTTAAGCCCATTACTTCTTGTCCAACGTTCAGTGGACATGGAGAACAATTGATCACTGTCCTCATTATAACAGCCCTCAACATATTTGAAGACTGTTATCAGGTCCCAGCTCAGTCTTCTTTACTCAGGCCCAGTTTGTTTGTTTTTTAACTTCTTCTCACAGGTCAGGTTTTCTAAACCTTTTAGCATTTTTGTTGCTCACCCCTGGACTCTCTCTAATCACCTTTCCTGATGTGTGGTGCCCAGAACTGGACACAGTGCTCCAGTTGAGGCCTCACCAATGCTGAGTAGATTTGGGATAACGTAAATATGGAGTTAGGAACTGAATTCCATGCCCCCATTTTTTCACATTTCGGCATTGGTCTATATGTATTGAGCTATCTTACAGCATTAGCTGACGTTTCTAAGAACAGGTTAGACAAACACTTGTCAGGGATGGTCTAGCTTTACTTGGTCTTGCCTCAATGCAGGGGATTGGACTAGATGACCTCTCGAGGTTCCTTCCAGCCCGACATTTCTGTGATGCTACAAGCAGAATTATAATGATTTCTAGATGTTCCAGAGTTGCTGACCTGAATGACAAGGTATCTTTGAGGGTCTCGAGCCATTCTAGAAAATTCAGCAGCCAATTCCTTGAATTTAGGCCGACTGTCAGCATCAATCATCCAGCCTGGGGACAGATTTAAGAAGAAAATAAAAAGTTGCTTGGTAACAAGGAATACCATTACATTTTGAATAACATTTGAAACAATCCTGAGTATGAAGTGTGATGATGCCTTTGGTGTATTTGGCCTGCAAAGGAAAAAACACAATTCAGTTGTTCAGGGAAATTGGAAAGACGATAATAAACAATGCTTCTAAAATAGAGGAAGTCAGATCTTGTGGTTAAGGCCTGGAGATCTGTATTCAATTCCTGGCTTTGCTGTTGTGGGACCTTGGGCAAGTAGCTTACTTTATCTGTGCCTCAGTTTACCATCTCTAAAATGGGGATGGTACTGAAGTCTTTCTAATCACGTCCCGCTTATCAGTCTTGTCTATTTAGATCAGAAGCTCTTTGGGGGTAGGAAATGTCTCTTACCAGAGATCTGTACCATACCTCGCTTGATTGGGCCTGTATTTCAATCAGGGCCTCTAGGCATGATCATAATACTACCAGTAAAATAAACATTTCTACCTGATCTGCTAATCCATAATGTATTCCAGGTTATAGCAGACTGTTACACAGCTCTGAACACTCTGACCTCTCTCAATCATTTTTTTCTCTCTCCTCACCATTTGGGGAACGTTGTATTAGTGCTGCCATCATCAGCTATGGGTTACATTTTAACATTATTTGCAGGCATAAGCCCTGCTGCAGGCGATAGCTATTATCGAGACACATTCCGCCTCAAACAAGCAAGGACTCTCCCCCTGCCCCCCTCGCATTCTCTCAAAAAGTTCATTAGAAAGAAGGGCCTCCTCTTTGAATGCCTTCTGCAAAATAGTTAGTGCAAAGCAACTGATAAATGCCACTCAGCAACAGCTGCTGGTTTATATCAGTGCCAACCTCTTCTACGAAAAGATTCTATCAGCAATTTTCCAGGAATGTGCTCTCATTTAGCAGGGACTCTCATAAGAAATAGTCCTTATCGCTTATAGCCCTATTACACTGAACATGTGACCAAAGTAGAAGAACCAAAGCTTCCTTAGCCAGAAGGCAGTTTGGCAAGAACTCTAAAAGATTACGGGTACACCATTAGCAATGGTTTCCCCAATTTAAGATGTCCGGAATATCCAGTCTACCTTTCAACACTATAGAATTGTTTCTTATTCATTAGAACTGTGTTCTATTAGACTATTCTTGAGTTTGATCCAAATGGTCCGCTTCCATGTGTTTAGCTCTTCTCGTCAACTTCCAGCCTACATGCTGTTGCATCACTTGCTGCCATGACAATCGAGTGCCTTGCTCTTTTATCATCCATATCTTATAGAGCCTGTAAGGATGCTGCAATCCATTCTCACAAACTTATGCATCTCTGTATCCCTGCTGAAGTCAATGGGACTATTCACATCACATCAACATGAGTAAAACATGCAGAATCCGTTTCTATGGCTGAAATGACATATTGAGGAGAATTCCTGTATTAAAGGAAATGTCATGCGATTCTTACAAAAATAATACCTGAGCCATAGACAATCAAGCTGCATAAGGGGTAGATTGCCCTCACATCAGCGTTGTGTATGACTAAAGGATAGGCAGTCTGCTGAAAAACAAAACCTGCCATTTGCTCCCTATCAGAATTGTTTGTGTTTGGATTTTAGGGCCCATGTAGGTTCCAGATGGACAGTGCGGAAGATTCAGCTCCTATTTACCCACAGAGTGTGTATAGTACAGGAAGCTACGATGCAAATTACCTCATAACGTCCGACCAATGTGCCTCAACCTACACCCATTACTAAGATGAGGATGTTACAATCCTTGGCCTCTCTGCTAAGCCTTCCAGGAAGGAGGTGCATACTGATAGTAAGGGACTGTGATTTTTGTGATGAGGACACTTGTTCATTGGGAATTAGATGAAACCATTAAACACAAGCCACCAAAGAGCCCCTGTACTGAACATGTGTGGCAGCCTTTAGCCCCGAATGACCTGTGTTGGGTTTAATCTTGCAGTTAGGGGTGAAAGGAACTATATCCATTACTCTCTTTTGCGGGGGAAAGAGGGCAGGTTAAGTGAGAATCCAGATATAAACTATTTTAATTTTTTGCTAAATTATAAATGTCTATAAACTACTGGATCTGACTAAACAAACAAAAACAAATCCTCAGCTGTGTTATATTTGTTAGATTAAGTCAATTTATCTTGAATAAGAACCCATTATGGATTTCTTTCCTCAATATTTGAGATTTCTGTTTTGGAACCAACTCTTCTCTTTGCCACCTTCAATGCCTGACTACCCATGTACCATAATTATGTTTAATGCTATCGTTTTTTACATCAAAATCAATTGTCATGGAAATGACAAGTGTTTACAATCACAATCATACAATTTTGACTTCATAGCGAGGATGTGTGATACCATCTCACAGTAATAAGAAGAGGAGCTAACTCAAACCCTTCACGGCTAAACTCATATCCTTTGCAATTGGGGGGAAAAAAAGGTGCATGCTATGTTCAAATGTAATTTATAAAACCGTAGGAAGCTTTTTGTTTTGAAACAGTCTGCATTATTAGCAAGCACTATCAGTGACTGTAGATGCAATGGAATAGGCTCTGCTAGCATTGACCACAGTGATATTAAAACGACAGTTACTCACATTTCACCATCACCATGTACACATCAATGGTGCAGATAGGAGGCTGGGGCAACCGTTCCCCTTTCTCTAACAGGTCAGGAATTTCTCGTGTTGGGATTCCATCGTAGGGTTTTCCGCCAAAGGTCATAAGCTCCCAGATAGTGACACCTGGGAACAAACGAGTATAAGATTAGGGGCCTTATGGATCAGTTTGAGGCTCAATATTGGATTACAATGCGATGAACCTGTCTCATTCATTCTCAGAACCAGTGCATGTCCATAGCTTGCTCAGACTTATGTTGGATCCACCACTTAAAGACTATTGGAAGAGTGTGGAACAGCACTTGATTTCGATTCTAACGATGGTGTCTTTTGTTTGCACTGGGTTAAGAAAAGTTGCAGGCATGACAGATGGGGAGACTTAGAACAAATAAGTGGTGTCGAGTGCAGGCATGACAGATATGGAAGACTTAGAACATATAAATGGAAACAATAACAAAAGAATATGCCTGGCTCTTTTATCATATCAAAATGGAAAATGAATGGTTGATGTTATTGTAAGGGGCAAAAAACCTGAAGATGTTCTCTAAATTACAGCATCAATTTCCCATAATGATGCAGCGTGAATAAGGTGATGTCATTATCTTTGCCTTGTAAATCATTCACAGTCAGTTGTGTTGGTTCCTCTTAAAGCACCTTATGGATTTGGGTTACGATAATCCTATGATTTAAACCTGGGATCCTCTTTTTGAATAGCCTGAGAATTTTTCTGGCAGCTAAGCAGAAAGATAAATAACATATATCCCAAGTAATGGAATTTATCCCAAAAGACAATCTTTAATATTAAAAATACTGCTGCTTTCCTAACACTCTCCTTTGTTTTGCTTTTATTTTATTGTAAAGGTCATTTAAAATATGCCTCCAGCCTGGTAATCATATTTTGCAGACTGTCACTTCTAATCTGAGGAGAGAGAAGTAAAAATACATATCCAAGAAACATGCATTTATTTTCTCCCCCATTCACCTCCACACTGATGTTTAATAACTAAATCTTGTCCATCGTCTTGTTTTATTCTTTCAAATTACAGATGTGCTGGGCCTCCTGTTTTAAACTGAGCTGCATAAATAATGGAGGAAGATGTACATTTTGCTAACTGGGGCAATACACAATTTGGGGGTGGGGAGGAAGCTGCTTTATGCATACAGTTTCAATATCATAGAATCATTTATTTTTCTTAGCTGGACAGAAGAAGATAGCTACCTGGCAATAGCAAACAGTGTATTTTACTGCTACCCACAGGTAAATGTGAGTAATGAGTTTCAGCTGATTCTGCACAGCTTTGTTTCAAAACTATTCAGCAACAGAAACTTTGGATGAGGTCCAGTATCTCTAATTACCTATTATGGGTCTGATACTGTGAGATCCCATTTATAAAGGTGCAGGTTACTTTCTCACTAACAGCTGGACAAGTTAAACAGGCAAACAATCAAGCAGATGCCTAACAGCTCATTCTGATATTGTAGTTAACACAATTAAATAAACTCTCTAAATATTGAAATCACTTGGTTTTCAGTTTAGAATCCTCGTGGCCTGACCTTTCTCACTGATTCCAAAGTTGTTTGTGAAATTAAACCTAAGCATGTATAAGTCAGCCTCTGCTCTTTGCTTTCTTCTCCCTCCCCCTCTCTTGCTGTATTTGTTCTGTGTCATGACATATTCCCTTTTATCTGACTGTAGTACAGAAACTCCCATAAGCCAGAAAATGTTTTTTGACATTCCTGACTTTCAGAGTTCGGTTTTCAAAGAACTGTTGGAAATTATGACCCGCAGTCATATTTCTACCAATCTGTGGCGAAACGAAAAGAGGCTTTTTTCTGTCACAATGATCAGCCGAACTGCTACCAAAACAGAGTTTCTGGCAGGCAACCCAGCAGGGACGTTGTGATAATGCATTTTAGTGAGCAGGGAAATAACTCAGAAGACAGGTAACAATGCAATTTAGATGTATATATTTTTAAAAATAGAGGAAACACAAGGTAACAGTTATCTCCTTTAGGAAATATGGGTTGATAAATAAACATCAGTGACACAATAAAAGAACTTTATGTATTTCACAAGAGATGAATTCTTAAGCACAATCACATGGAAGATTTACCATAGCTCCAAACATCGCTCTGATGGGTGAATTTCCTGTAGTGTATACATTCCAGAGCCATCCACTTAATTGGCATCTTGGGAGCAAAAAGATACATGAAAGTTAGAAAAATAATAATGAATATAATAATATTAATGGGTCCTAAACCCAGGTATCTAGTTCTCTCTCCCTCTCTCAGTTACTAATTTAAAAACTCCCAAAGTCAGGACATTAAAAAATTAAGGCTCACACCAATAAAGTAAATAAATACTTGGCCAAATTCTGTGCTCATTAACATGCAAGGAGCCCTCAGAGAGACAGTGTAGCAATGACTTACAGTCTGTGCAACCCCACGGAATTCTTCATGTGTCGATTTCAGTGGGGTTGCTCGGGGGACAGAATCTGACCTGGTGATGTTGCACAAGCATAATGAAGAGCAGAGCAGGCACTCAGCTATCACAGTCCTGGGGATGGTGTAAAGAGCTTAAATGAAAGCGAACAGAATAGATTTTGGCCCACAGCATATACTGAGGTTAGAAATAAGCAGAACCTTTTATTAGAAATCCTTCACCGCATCCAAGCTTGGTGATTCAGATACATTGGAAAAACCAGTTTCTTGTTAACCCTGGATTTAGCATGATAAAATCAAACCAGTTTGCCCAATATTATGACTGTGTCCAAACCCCTAAAATTTAGATGGTTTGGAAAAAATGGAACCCTTTTGATTTTGACAAGGTTTTGCAAAACCAAAGCACTAGCGCAGATACATAACAACCTATATAGTCATTGACAATGCTACAAGACAATGAGTCCATTTCCGGACTTGTGTGTGTGTGTGAAGGGTCCGATCCTGCAAGCCCTTTGCATCCCAAACACCCACTGACTTCAAATGGGCAGTGTGTGCCATGAATATTGCCTTGTAGGAGCAGAGCCTCAGGGTATACACTATATCCTACCAAGTAAGGGTCATCTTCTTTTGAAACTATAGTTTATGTCATTGAAAGGAACCCCCCCCACACACCAAATAAACCTACAACTGCAGGTGCCCTGGTAAAATCTTAATGGCTGGATAAAGCAGTTAATGAGTCTGCATTGTGAAAATATCCTATGTAGTTGATTAGAGAACTGCAATCTCTATATTTACAGCCAGGATATCACTCTCTATTAAATTCTATAGGTTGGTTTAATGCCTTTACAGAAAGGCAATCATAGTGAGTTCTATAGAGACCTATTTAATTTCTGCAGAAGTCTATTAAATTCTACAGGATTTTTCCAGACAGGAACAATTTCAACAGCAGAGCTGTATTATTCATTAACTGCCTAAGCCCTCCTTAGCAAACTTACAATACAGCTTTAAAATGCAAACAACTTCTGGCTTGGGAAGAGATATTTCTCAGAAGCAAGACAGTCAAATTTCTGGTGCATACATCCTACCCCAGCCCCCAGTAGTGCGTTTGGGCCCATGAGTCCAGGACACCCTCCAAGAGCTGCAGGAAGAATCTATAGGCTTCCTTTGTCCTTCACGGGAAGGAATGGGTGGAGAAGAGGCAGAGGGGGTGCTGGAGGGGAGATCAGAGGAACTGGAAGAGTCAGGGAAGGCTGCCAAAGCTCTATCCTCATTGCCAGAAGGTCCCTGCAGTGCTAGGGAGTCGAAAAGCAGCCACTGATTATTGCCGTGCAAATAACTGATTTTTCAGTTCACTGGCATTTCTGGAAAAAAACCCAGAAAAAAATGGGTTTCCACTTGACCCAATTTAAAAAAAAATTGGTGAATGGAAAAGTAAAAAAAAAACAAATCCCTTCATTTTGGGTTGAACGAAACATTTCGTTCGACCCAAAGTGAAGTGTTTTGTTTCGCTTTTAAAACTTTTTAAAATTTTATTTTAATAATATTGAAGTAAATGTCAAAATGAAAAGTCATTTGACTAAAAAACTGAAATGTTGAGATTTTTTTGGATTTCTTTGTTTTTTACCGAAACAACGGGGCAAATTCTACATGAATTAGTGAAATGTTTTGGTTGACCTGAATCTGCATTTTTCAGCCCCCCCATCCAAAAAAAGTTTTAGTCAAAAAATTTCACCCGAATCTGCTGCTGATTTCTTTGATGCTTCTTGCCCCACCAGTTGTATCCCTGTTGCTCCCCACAATTCCTGTTCATGGAATAGTTGAACTCAGCAGCAGTACACTTAGGAAGGAAGCCACTCTCCCCAGGAAGTAACAGATGATGGCAGCAGTCTCTACTCAGCCACCAGCATAAGTGAACAGAGAAAATGAGGGGGGAGCAGGGGGGGAGCGACCAAGGATTTGGAAAAGGGGATGGGGAGAGACATAGACCCACCAGGGAGTTGATGGAGTTGGAGGAGAGACTAAGGCAGGTTAAGATGAGCATGTTTGGTGAGGCATTTCAAAGGTGGTTATGGCATAGCCACTTGGACCTTGTGTCTGGGACCGCCTGAATGTTGTTATGCCTCTATTTGGGTGCCTTTATCAAGTCTTGCAATGGTGAGTCTATGTAAGACACGAAAGGAATTCAAACTATGGAGGTGCAATAGGAAATAATATGGGAAGAACAGCGGAAAGTGTCCCAGGTGCCCAGGTTAAAACCTGTCTGTTTTAATTACATGCAGCAGATCTCCTGAGTGCCCCAGTATTTTGCATCCTTTCAGAGATGTCTTGAGCAAATGTTGGCACTGCAACAAGGAACTGGGAAACAGCATGCACAGATTCTTTTACTGTGAGCCAACAGGCAGATTGTTGGAAACCACATGTAAAACCTTAATGGACACGCCAGAAGTAAACATCTCCTGACCCCTTCCTTTGTGGCTGCTGGAGAGAGATCTGTCTAGGAAAAGTAGCCTGCAAACTACTCAGTGCTGGCAATAGCCTACAGTGATGAACTGGAACAACGGCACTGCACTGAATTCAAATGTTTTCATTGCAGTAGAAATGCAGCACAAAATGGAAGACACAAGAACAAAGCCCGGCCACGATCCTGTTTTGCTCAGGGGGCTCATCTTAGGCCAAGCCCTGTATCTTGCCGAGTCCCATTGAATAGAATGGAATAACTCGCAGGACCGGGCCCTGCCTGATTTCCCAGAGTGCCGAGTACATAGTCATAGCTCCCGCTGAGGTCAAAGGCAGCTCTGGTGTGCTCAGGACTTTCGAAAAACGAGGCTTGTACCAAAATGTGAATTCAGGAGCCTAACGTTCAGTTTCTCTTTTTTAAAATCTCAGCCTTCATCTACAAAGTTTCCTTTTAATAATGTTCATGGTCATGCTCCTATAGGTGTATCCTTTTCAAGTGATGGAATAGAGAGAACAAGAGCTTTGCACTGGAATGAATGAAGGCCCCTGCAAAAGAGCAAGACCAGGACTGCTGGCATGAATGCACCCACCTTCCCTCCATCAGCGTTGTACTCTTTCTCATCGCCTTCCAGGAGCCTGGCCAGGCCAAAGTCAGTGATCTTCACATGGTTTGGTGATTTTACCAAGACATTCCGGGCTGCCAAGTCCCGGTGAACCAGTCTCCTCTCTTCCAGGTACATCATTCCCTGGGGGGGACACAAAACATTTCTTTTAAGTCAAAAAAACCCTTAAATATTTTTCAGATTTCCCCCCCTCTTTTTGCAACCTGTTTCCATGATATCTTGAAAAACAGTCTATAATATTATTATATGATAAAATAGTGCCTAGAGGTCAGAGCCACAAAGGTGCTAAGAACTGTACATAGTGAGAGAGTCCTCACCATGAACAGCTTGCAACTTGGATAGACAAGACAGAGAAAGGAAGGATTATCCTCCCCATTTTGCAGAGAGGGAACCTGAAGCACAGGGAGATTAAGTGATTTGACCAAGGCCTCAACAGGAGTCTGTGGCAGAGCTGGGACTTGAATCTGGATCTCCTAACACCCTGTCCAGCTTGCTAACTACAAGAAAATGCTCCTGTTCTATACCCAAAGCCTCTGAGCTGGATACAAATTTTCAATATTCTTAGTGAATTATGGGGAAAACAACTCTGTGTTCCTCTGGCTGCAATCCAGTTGCTTTTCCAACTCCATTAAAACTTTACCTCTCGTATTATAATTGGATATAAGATCAATGGTCAATGTCTTTTATGAGCATATACATTCTGTTACAAGTAGTTGTGTTAACAAGCCATCCAGGTGTCTTAATAGATAAGCTAAAACATGTCCAAATTGTCTGATCTGCATCTGCCCTAATCATTTACTTAGTCTGATGACAGACTAAGCACCTGCGATCAGCAAGTGAGTTTACTGAGATCATCACCAAAGCTTAGTCTTACTACTTCTATGAAGAATGCAAGATGCCCTGAAAGGGTTACAAGCCTGTAATTTCATAAAATGGAATTTATGACATTAGCAGTCATTATAGGGACCTACAGATGAAATTACATGCCTGGCAATTACCCTTACGGTGACTTTTCATATATCCACTCTATAACATACACAGTAGTTTAAAAAAAAATATTGGAAGCTGCAGTATCATATAAGATGATAATTCAAAGAGTCACCGTCAGTGATTAAAATAAGTACATTACTCGGTATAACGGGCCAGATTCTGATTCCCTTACATTGTGGTGCTACACGACTAGCCCTACTGATATCAATGGGTCTATGTCTATGTTAAGGAACTATTCAATATAATATGGTAGAATCTAGTCCTGTGCTGGCAGACAAAGGGGACACCTCTACAGAAGTCACCAAGAGGCACTTTGAAATGTATTTCAGCAAAAAGGAAACCAGTGGCCATAACACTTCACTTTTAAATAGAAGATTTCAAAGCAATCAACACGGAAGGTTATGAAAGGCTCATAGGGGAGCCTCAGCATAATATTTTATTTTTAATGCAATATTTTTTGCTGCAGTCAACATGAAGAGTGTTTGAACAGGGAAGTGGGGACTATATGGCATACAGCAAACAGAATTATTTTTAAAAGGCACTTTTAGTCAAAGCAAGCACACTCTCATGCCAATTGCAAATCAGCGCTGCTGGCTGTTGAACATCACAACTGTACACTTTGAAGGATTAAGAGTTTCTGACATCAAAACAAAAGCTGTGGAAAAAACAGACAAATAAATCTCACAGAGCAAACAGTTATGAACCATATACCAAGCATGTCATGAAAAAGCAGATTGCTTTAGATGGTATCGTGAGCAAGCTTGCGTAATAACAATTGGAACCCAACCAACAAGTGATACTGTATAACAAGCCAATCGATCAGTCCCAGTGACATTCCAAGATACAGAAGTAGCAGCATCAACAGCAACAATAAAAGCTGACAGGTGCAGAGGAGCACCCGGTTTGGAGAGATGTATTTCTTAGGGGAGGATTTATTAAAGGGAATACTCTATATCCAAGTAAAGAGGAGTGGATAGAAGTTGATAAAAGTACAGGTAGGAACTGAAGAGAAACAATTAAATGAAAAAAGAGCCCCATTCAATTACATCACATGAAGGCAGACAACTAAATATTGACAGTGCTTGTATACAAATGCAAGAAGTCTAAATATTAAGATGGACTTGAGTGCCTGGTATTAACTGAGGATATTGATATAATAGGCATCAGAGAAACTTGGTGGAACAATGATAATCAATGGGACATGGGTATACCAGGATAAAAAATACACCTCTACCCCTATATAACGCTGTCCTCGGGAGCCAAAAAATCTTACCGCATTATAGGTGAAACCGTGTTATATCGAACTTGCTTTGATACGCCGGAGTGTGCCGCCCCACCCTCCCGGAGCGCTGCTTTACTGCGTTATATCTGAATTTGTGTTATATCGGATCGCGTTATATCGGGGTAGAGGTGTATATAGGAATGACAGAGTAGGTCGTGCTGGTGGGGGGATGGCGTTGTATGTGAAAAAACCTAATCAAATATAGTAAAAATCTTAAATGAAACAAATTATACCATAGAATCTCTACGGATAGAAATTCCATGATTGAATAATAAGAGTATAGCAGTAGGAATATACTACTGACCACCTCACCAGGATGGTGATTGTGAAGTGCTCAGGGAGATTGCAGAGGTTACGAAAACAGAAAACTCAATAATAATGGGGGATTTCAACTAACCCCATATAGATTGGGAATATGACACCTCAGGACAGGATGCAGAGATAAAATTTCTAGAGACCATTAATGACTGCTTCTTGGAGCAGCTAGTCCTGGAACCAACAAGGGGAGAGGCAATTCTGGATTTAGTTCTAAGTGGTGCACAGGATTTGGTCCAAGAGGTTAACCTTATAGTAACCATAATGTAATTAAATTTAACATCCCTGTAGGGGAGAAAATACGAAAGAAACCTACCACAGTAACATTTAACTTCACAAAGGGGAACATCACAAAAATGAGGAGGCTAGTTAAATGGAAATCAAAAGGAACACTCACAAGAGTGATATGCCTGCAAGCTGCATGGAAACTTTTAAAAACCACCATAAAAGAGGCTCAAACTAAATGTATACCCCATTTATTTTTGTAAAAAGTAAGAGTTCCAAAAAATGCCACCATGGCTAAATGGAGTAAAAGAGGTGGTCAGAGACAAAATCACGTCTTTGAAAAATTGGAAGTCAAATCTTACTCAGGAAAATAGAAAGGAGCATAAATTCTTGCAAGTCAAGTGTAAAAGTATAATTAGGAAGGCCAAAAAAGAATTTGAAGAGCAACTAGCAAAAGACACAAAAACTAATAGAATTTTTTGTTAAGTATATCAGAAGAAGGAAGTCTGGTAACCAATCGATGGGGACAGGGGGCCATCGAGGTGCTGAAGGAGCACTCAAGAAAGACAAGCTATATGAATTCTTTGCATTGGTTTTCACTGCAGACAACGTGGGAGAGATTCCCACATCTGAGCCATTCCTTTTAGCTTACAAATATGAGGAACTGTCCCAGATTGAGGTGTCAATAGAAGAGGTTTTAGAACAAACTGATAAACTAAACAGTCGTAAGTCACCAGGGTCAGATAGTATTAACCCAAGAGTTCTGAAGGAACTCAAATATGAAAATGCAGAACTATTAACTGTGATATGAAAACCTATCACTTAAATCAGCCTCTGTATCAGATGACTGGCAGATAACTCATGCGAGGCCGATTTTTAATAAAATGCTCCAGAGTTGATCCTGGCAATTACAGGCTGGTAAGCTTAACTTCAGTACCAGGCAAATTAGTTGAAACCATAGGAAAGAACAGAACTGTCAGACGCATAGATGAACACAATATGTTGGGGAAGAGTCAACACAGCTTCTGAAAAGAGAAATCATGCCTCATCAATCTATTAGTATTCTTTGAGGGGGTCATCAAACATGTAAAAGGAGGATTCAGTGGATATAGTGTACTTGGACATTCAGAAAGCTTTTGACAAGGTCCCTCACTGAAGACTCTTAAGCAAAGTATGCAGTTATGGGATAAGAGAGAAGGTCCTCTCATGGATCAGTAATTGGCTAAAAGATAGGAAACAAAAGATAGGAAAAATGCTCCATTTTCACAGTGGAGAGAGGTTAACAGTGGCATCCCTCAAGGATCTGTTTTGGGACCAGTGCTGTTCAACATATTCATGAATGATCTGGAAAAAGGAGTAAACAGTGAGGTGGCAAAGTTTTCAGATGATAAGTTACTCAAGATAGTTAGGTCCAAAGGAGACAGCAAAGTGTTACAAAAGGATCTCCCAAAATCGGGTGACTGAGCAACAGAATGGCAGATGAAATTCAATGGTGATAAATGCAAAGTAATGCTAATCGGAAAAAAAATAATCCCAACTACAATTACAAAATGATGGGATCTAAATTAGCTGTTACCACTCAAGAGAGAGATCTTGGCATCATTGTGGATAGTTCTCTGTAAACATCTGCTCAATGTGCTGAATCACTCAAAAAAGCTAAGCGAATGTTTGGAACTATTAGGAAAGGGCTAGATAAAAAGGTAGAAAATATAATTCCACTATATAAATCCACTGTACACCCACACCTTGAATATTGCATGCTGTTCTGGTTGCCCCACTTCAAAAAAGCTATATTAGAATTGGAAAAAGTATAGAGAAAGGCAACAAAAATGATTAGAGATACGGAACAGCTTCCACATGAGGAGAGATTAAAAAGACTGGGAATGTTCATCTTGGAAAAGAGGACTGAGAAGAGACATGATAGAGGTCTATAAAATCATGAACGGTGCGGAGGAAAGTGAATAAGGAATTATTTACCCCTTCATATAACACATGAACCAGGGGTCACCTAATGATATTAATAGGAAACAGATTTAAAAAAAACATAGGGAAGCACTTGACGCAATGCTTGTGGAACCACTGCCTTGGGAAACTGCGGAGGCCAAAAGTATAACCGGGTTCAAAAAAGAATGAGATAAGTTCATGGAGGACAGGTCCATCAATGGCCATTAACCAAGAGGGTCGGGGACGCAACCCCATGCTCTGGGTGTCTCTAAACTTCTGACTGCTAAGAGCTGGAACTGGACAATCGGGATGGATCACTCAATAAAGTGCCCTGTTCTGTTCACTCCCTCTGAAGACTCTGTCTCTG